TTATTCCTTTAATGTCTGAATTACTTAAAAGAATATTAGATGCAAATAAAAAAGTAAAAATAAAGAAATAATTCTTTTTTTTTTTTTTTAATAATGATTTAAATATTTTAGGTTCAAGAAGCTGCTTGTAGTGCATTTGCAACATTAGAAGAAGAAGCATGTATACAAATGGTACCGTATTTAAATCAAATTCTTGAAACATTAGTACATGCTTTTCGTAAATATCAAGCAAAAAATTTATTAATACTTTATGATGCTATTGGAACATTAGCTGATAGTGTTGGTTCACATTTAAATCGTCCAGATTATATACAATTATTAATGCCACCATTAATTGAACGATGGAATTTATTAAGAAATGATGATAAAGATTTATTTCCATTACTTGAATGTCTTTCATCAATTGCAACAGCATTACAAACAGGATTTTTACCTTATTGTGAACCAGTATTTGGTCGATGTATTTTACTTGTACAACAAACATTAGAAGCTAATAGTGGAGATACACCAGCGGATAAAGATTTTATGATTGTTGCACTTGATTTACTATCCGGTTTAGCTGAAGGACTTGGTAATTATATTTTATTTTATTTCAAAAGAAAATGAGTTCTTGACTATTTCGGATAAGATTTAGTTTTATAGGAAAGTGAAAACTGTAAAATATGATATGTGTGAAGCTCGAAGTCAAAATACATAACTTAGTTTTTCTGATGTTCTTAAAGAGCGAGTTCCATGACGAGAGATATGCAGTGTTGGTGTAGTATACTGAAGAGTAAGTCAATAACATCGAATCTCCTAGGAGATTGGCATCGATATTCACTGAAGCACTGACATCTACATTCGTTACAATACGGACACACCAACTCTATCAAAATATGCACTCTTTGTAGTGACATGCTTCACTGCATACAGGTGCAGGTGTGCCAGTGCATATTAATCACGTACTTAGTAAACTCAAATCGCACATCCCTATTCATCATATTTTACTAAAAGCACAATAATCCGACAGCAAGAAGTCAGAAGCATGAACTCTTTTGAATAGAAATGGAACTGATCTGAATTTTTACGACCGAACCAGACTGGCGGCTCTGAAATGCGCACCACTACTGATTCCATCTCTGATGGTGAAAGTATTCATAGTTCATTATGATTTCTATGATGTTGAAAATTTCCTTAAACAACTTAAATAATCAGTAAAATCGTGATAAACTCCTGAGACTAGACTAGAAATTCATACATATGAATTTTTGAGGGTAAAGTGAAACATGGTCGCCGATAAATGGTCACTACGAAAATGCGTACGCACGAATTTATTAATCGAAAATATATTTAATAATAAAACAAACTTTGTTTTATAAATACTGTAAGTAAAAATTTGATTAAATAATCAAGATTTGTTGTGTTTCATTGTATTCAATTTATATGTTGACACTTTAGAAAAAAAAAACAAAAGTAGAAACCAGTTTTCTAAAATAGCTTTCAATATACTTTACTAACAATCTTTTATTCGAATAATTTTTCTATTAAAAGAAATCTAACCTATAATGATATTTGTTAATAAGAGTTTTTAAATAGAGAAAAGTTCAATTTATCGAAATTACAAAGTTGGATCAAAGGTTTCCGGAGTTGAGAAATCCGAATCGGAAATCAGTTTTGCAAAATTCTATACTTGGTTTTTCGATGCAGTAGAGGCTATTTTAGGACACGTGATCAAGAAATCAAGTACATAGTTCTGAAAAAACGATTACAGATTCAGATTTCTCGACCACGAAAACCTTTGATCAACTCTATAAGGTGTCGTTTATTTTAAAAAATAGTTTTTCCTGGATAAACTTACAAAAATCTTCGTTACTTGATAACGGGAACTTTTCTGTTACTGGATAATTCGTAACATAAAAGCAATTTCTTAGCCCTAATAGTGACTATTATGATTAAGTAGAACGATCTTCTGCATCACTCAAACGAAAACAAAGATTGATTTGAGATGTCCTCAAAGAATCACCATAAGGAAAAACCAGCTAATTCTATGTACTTTAATCGATAGCATATTTTTCAAGTAGGTGATGACAGAAATCATAAACATTTTTTGCAAAAAATGAGGTGCTGAATAAAGAAATCATGTCATTGATGAAAGATCAAATCTCGAGCTATCCTCCCATGCATTTATCTTAATTTTGATAATTCTGACGCAAATTGCTTTTTGTGGGACTCATATATTCCTGAAGAAAATAATGAGTGAAAGTTTTGCATCTTCAATCATTACAGACCTTAGAAACCGCAAAAGTAAATCAATTGTTTAGATCAATGGCAGAAGCAAACAAAGGAAAGAGTATAGAATTAAGGTACTAATAATGAAGTAATGTTTAATGTGTGTAAGTTCCACATTTCAGCTTCACAAAGGTTGCCCGAACAAACTTTTTTCTGCGGAGAAGCTTTAAGAAATTTTTTTTCTTTAATTACAAAATTCTCAACTAAATCTCGTAGTGACTAATATTCATAGACTTATTTTGTGAACTTTTTCAATATAGAGTGGGCTATAACTAATACTACGATAACAAAAAAAACTGAAATATCTCTGCTTCGATTCGTTAGAATAGGCTAAATTTTGACTAGTGGTAGAAGTTTTATTTTCGTACGAATGTCATAAACAAATACTATTGTCAAGCTGTATTTTTAACATGACTTAAGAAATTTCACCTACTGTCAAGGACGAAAAAACAAAAACAAATGATGCATGATATAGACAATGTTGTATTATCATGTAAGAGAACAATAAGAACAGATTAAAACGAACTTTATGAATGATACTATATTAATACATACAAAGATATTAGTCAGTTAAAATTCTGAAATTCGTGTACTATAAGTAAAACACTTAATTATACCCTTTTGAGTATCAAAACATTAATTTCCCTGCAAAAAAACTAGGTATTCCATGTTTGAAAATTTGTTCTTATTCATTTCTTAGGTGATAATAAAAAAAATATTTATACAACGCTTTGTTTGTTTTTTTCTTATTTGACCGTGTGTGAAATTTCTATAGTCAGGTGAAAAATATTATTTAGCAATTATATTTATTTACGTTATTCGTATAAAAATAATAAACATTTATTACTAATCGAAAATTCTGCTCATTCCAACGAACCGAAGCGAAAATATTTCAATTTTTTATCTTTAGTGTTATTTATAGTCCATCCTACGCAATGACTTTTTTGTTAGTTTCATACACTAATTAGTGTGTCTATTCAATTAAATTTTAATAGTCTTATTAAAAAAAACTAGAAGCTATTGTTATTTAACGAATTTTTCTTTTGAAAAATTATGATAATCACTATAATTGAAGATAGAATTTTTTTATACATATGATTTTTAATTAATTGAAAAAATAATTTATTTTTGGTGTTTTTTCTAGGTTCTCATATTGATTCTCTTGTTGAACGATCAAATCTTTTAACATTACTTGAACGTTGTGCACAAGATTCAATGGCTGAAGTTCGTCAAAGTTCATTTGCATTATTAGGTGATTTAACAAAAGCATGTTTTCGTCATGTTCGTAAACATCTAAATATTTTTTTACCATTATTAACACAAAATCTTGATCCACATCACGTTAGTGTATGTAATAATGCTATATGGGCTATAGGTGAAATAGCTATACAAATTGGTTCTGAAATTCAACCATTTGTTTCAATTATTCTTGAAGCATTAATTATAATTATTAATCGAAATAATACACCGAAAACTTTATTAGAAAATACAGCAATAACAATTGGACGTTTAGGTCTTGTTTGTCCAAATGATGTTTCCTCTCAATTAGCACGTTTTATTCGTCCATGGTGTGTTGCTTTACGAAATATACGTGATAATGAAGAAAAAGATTCAGCATTTCGTGGTATATGTAATATGATTATATTAAATCCATTAGGTGTTACAAGTGAATTTATTTATGTATGTGACGCTATAGCATCATGGGAAAAACCACCTATGGAATTACATGCTAAATTTCGAGATATTTTACAAACATTTAAACAAGAATTTGGTAATGAACAATGGAAACAATTAACAGATCGATTTCCTTTACCACTAAAACAGCGTCTTCAAATTCATTATGGTGTTTAAATGATCATTTTTTTTTCTTTTTTGTTTTTTTTTGCTTGACGACATTGATACATATATACATATATATATATATGTGCAGAAAAATGAAACGTACTTTTTTTTGTCTTTAAATAAAGTCGTCTTAAAATTTTTTCTTTAATTTTTTTTTTTTTTACAGATATATTCTCATATAGTTCATTTCACACGTTTTTTCTCGAATGTTCTTGGTTCTTCTATTTTTTATTGTTTTTTTTTTCTTGTTCTTTCACTGTCAAGGAGTCAATGTTTGAACTACTATTTATTTTTCATTTTACAATGAAATGTGGCAAATGGATACTTGATAATCAAAAGAAAAAAAAGCTTTCGAATAATAGGTTGGAGAATTGAAATTGTAAAGTAGTAAAGTCGCTTATATGAAATTTTTTGAGGTTTTTTGATAAATGAAAAAAAGATTTGATTTTAAAAAGGAGAAAATCTTAAACGAATTCGAAGAAGCTGAAAAATTCTCATTTTTTATTTTATTCAATCGATCAATGCAACGATGTTTGATTTTTCTGAGATTAGAAATAATGTCTTCTAACATTGCTTTTGTTGATCTTACAGAAAATTATTAATAATATGTTTTTTATTACTATTTAGAATTCGATATTTTTATAATAAATTCAATTTTCGAAACATGATATATTATAGACAATTTTTGAAACTTTTTCGTTTTAGATTATCATTACTTTCGAGTTTTCTGGTAGTTTATTTTATCTACAATATTTTTTAATATTAATTATTTGTTTGGTTAATCATAGGAGACGAATATTAAACGTTTTAAAAACAATATTACATGGTCAATAATGCAGTTCAAATTTTCAAACTGACTCTTGCACTCTATTTAATATGCTAAATATGGAATGCGAGAATATGGCGTAAGTATTTTTATAAATTTAAATAAGAATTCATATTTTAATTCACGTATACAATGTGAAAGCTTTTTGAAAATGAAAATTATGTAACAAATAATAAAATAAATAGTACTATATTACTCTAAAAAGCCCTATATTTTTAAGCTTTTTTTTCTCGAATACTTTATAGTTGTATGCATAATATTTTAACGAGAAAATATCTGTTCTCTCTGTTTTCTTACATGTTTATGTATAAATACATGTGCATACTGATGTACGATCATTGATTATTTTTTAATGATATCGAATAATACTTGATTGACAAGTTGCACTAAGTAAATAAATGTTTCGTAGAAAATCTAAAACAATATTTCGTTATTTGTTTTTATCTTTTTGTATCAACTAATTTTTTCTATGTCATAAAAGAAAAATATTCTGTTTTTAATTGAAAAAATTTCGATAAAGATTTGAAAATTCAAAGAAATAAATTCTAGTGAGAGAATTATCTTTGGATCTTGACTGGCTACTAGTGTACTTTTGATTACTTTTGTTTTTCACTTGACAACACACACACACACATTAATACAATAAGCTTAGGAACAAAAAATAATTAACACAAGTAAAGTATTACCATGACCTTGAGCCTGTCGGGTAATTTCTCTTTCAAACTAAACAGAATTATTGGCAAACTTTTCTAACTGTTAATTTTTTTTTTTCATTCCTTTTTCTTGAAACTTGTGTAAATAAACGAACTGCAAAGGAAAAAAAAATTGAAATCAGTTCAAAAGGTAACATACTATTCTCACCTACGCACTTCCTTAATCATTCTGTTCTTTCCTTCTCTTCACTTTTCAATGTATAGATGTGTCTTGATTTTTTTTTCATTTGTTTGCAAAGGTATGTATCGTGCATTTGCTATTACGCATACATGGTGTCTCTCTCTGTAACCGATAATTTGCCGTATTTCTTTTTCTTTCGTTTTTTTTCTTCATTCTAGTTTCATTTTTCTTCGTCACAGTTGAGCACACTATAAATAGGGTGGTAGATCTGATAGTAATTTTTTTTTGTGTGGCTATGATTGCAGATAAGTGAAAAATGATTTCGTTTACATAGACAGCTGGTCTGTTGATGGACTTTTGGATTGTTGAATATTGGCTAGTAATATTTACAATCATTGTTTCATTTTTGGGTGGATTAACTTATTTTATTCAACGACAAATTCCATCTGATAAATTTCAATTAGATACAATTATGAATCAACAAGGACGTCGCGGTAGTACAAGTAGTCGCCGAAAAAATTCTCGAAATGCAAATAAAAAAAAACAACCAATGACGAATTCGAACAGTAATGATATTAGTGAAGCAGAACAAAAAAAAATTTTACCTGAAATAACACTTGAAAAAGATGAACAAGAACAAGAACAAGAAGAAGACGAAGAAGATGAATCACTTTTAGAACAAACTGTACAACAATCAGATGAAAAACAAGTAAAAGAAAAATTTGAAAATTCAATTCAAACAGAACAAATTATTTCTTCTTCAACACATGTTGAAGATGAACAAGAACCTACTGTAGCAATTAAACAACGTAATAAACCTAAAGTTATTAATAAATCACCAAGTTTACCTCCATCAAAAGAAGAATATATTGTTCTATCTAAACCTCAAGCAAGTGTAGCACCTGTTAAACAAGCTCATTTGTCATCACCAATCAAAAATTCATCGAATCATTTAAACCCTTCTCGAGATATGTATTCGAAATCAAATGGACATATATCACCATCCTACCATAATTATACATATTCTGCCTTTAATCCATTACCACCCCGATTCCAACAACAACAATTAGAAAAAGAAGCTGCATCTGCTGCTCGAAGATATCGTAAAAGAAGAGGACCATTACCACAAAAAAGATCACCTCTTCTGCCTGGTTCAGCTGCACGATCAAACGATTTTACACCATCGTCAGTTAAAGAACAACAACAACAACAACAACAACAACAACAACAACAAATCGATGATAATCAAAGAGAATTATCAATGAATCTTTTACCACAACAGGAATTATCGATACATAATGGTTATTCATCTGAATCCGATTTTTTAACAGGTAATATTCATTACTTTATTAAAAACATATAAAGTCAGTTAGATTAAATCTTCATAGAAAGAATTGACATAGTACTATGATAAAAACTATTAGAAAACAAAGTTCTTCACGATCAGAAATTGATCTCTCTCATTATCAGTTATTTTATATAGGGTAAAAGAGTTCGTGAAAATAAGTTATTTTTTCTAACCATAATACTGTAGAGTTCAAAGTAGGCATTTGATTAGATAATTTATTTAATTTCGATTAGATAGACACGAAGGATATGTTGCTAGATTATTTTAAGCATTCATCAGTATTAATTATCCTTTTTATCAAATTCGAGTATATTTATTCTAGATTTCATATTAGTAATTTGATATAGGTATTTTGTAAGAACTTTAGATATATACAGTGAGGATTGAGGAATTTATCAAAGTTTATTGCAAATCAATCAAAATTTTTTAAAGAACAGTTGCGAATTTTTACAAGTTTCTTTGAAGAAAATAATCATGGTATCTGAGTTTGTCTCTTGAGATGTCTGTCTATATACTACATGTAAGTCAAATAATTTGGCAATTAATAGATTCAATTCCAGTTTGTTGACTAGTACTACTATTTCTTATTTTTACACCCTTAATTAAGCGTAGTTCCGTCTTTTTTGGTCATTTCTGGTAGACAAAGAGACAAAAGGAAGAATACGCTTGTTGTTCGTCTACCTTGCAGTATGATGTGCTATCTAACAGCAGACTCAATAACCAGATATCTTTCTTACAACTAATACTAGCTGTACCTCTGGATAGAAGACCAGCCTGAGATAAAATTCTTCCACTGAACTGCTTCACCTTTCTATACACATTAACTAATCACATACTAGCTATAAGAACAGATATATGTCACAACATAGTCAACATGTTATCGGACGAGTGATCCGAGACAAATAGCTGTTAGTGACTACTGAAGAGTCATTTCATATCAGGTGGTGTTGAGCTTTGAGTACAATACCTTGTAGAAACGTGTCGATCAATATAGCCACTCAGCTGTGACGATTCATATCAGAAGCGAGAAAGGGACATTTCGCACCTACTTTTCATTATGATCTCCCGGCGGCGGAGTTCGTTATGATCTCCGAACATAAGGAAAAAAGATAGGGTATTCGTAATTGTGTACGGAAGTTTCGAATGCAAAAATCAATCAAGAATAAAAAAAACAGGGTGTTTGTAATGAATGTCGTCCAGGACAAAAATCATTTCCGAACACCTGGACACGTGACAGGAGTTCGGAATGACTTAGTGCGAAATGTCCGCTACCCCCCGAAGCAAGTACAACCAGTTCGCCTGAAACTTTCATCACAGATAGAACAGTTAAAATAAGGAGATACGAGTTGGAGAAAAAAGTTTTAAAACAAGGTGTTTACAGTTTTTTCGAGAAAAGTCTGATTTTTTAGATGACTACACTGGGTCTGCTTACGGACTTCCATTTAACTCTGTCTGATCACGCTGAAACTGTTACTAGAGATACTTGGAAGCATTCTATACAGATAAAATCGACCGTTTTCGTTCGTGACCTTCCTGTTCGGATTTATAGGATCCTGAGCTCTAACGCTCTGCTTTTTTAGATTCGAATCTTCACATATTTTTTTCATAAAAGAAAAAGAAGGTGAGATTTTTGAAAAACCTCAAAAAAAAACACCTCTGAGAACAATGTTATATAGAGGTGTGTAATCGGACCCGATGTGATCCTCGGAATACCCGTGTGCTTCCGAAAAACCTGTGAAAATTTTATTTAGAATTTTCTTCCTCGAACTCGTGGTTTCTCGTGCTAAGTAGTCTATTTATGATAAAAATTTCAGACGGATCGGTTGTACCCTCTTCGAGAACTAGAAATGGTCACAAAAAAGCGAGCGTAGTCTTATGTTTTGATATTTGAACGCTAGATTTAACCATGCAAAAGATAAGGATATATCATCTTGCTCTTTCGCAATTGATACAATAATAGACAAGATTACAGATTTAAATTTTTATCATAGAAATAAATATGCAATTGATATATGTATAAAATTAAATTTATTTTTTTTCGTAGATTCACCATCAACAGGATGCAATAATTCAATTAGTCCTTTATTATCTACATCGGCTGGTTCACAATCTTCTCTACAAAGACTTGACTTAGTTCGTTCATTAGCTACATCGAATGGTCTTCTCGATGAATTAATATCAATATTTGATACAGTAGCATTTTCATCTGAAGAACTTCAAATAATTCTAAATAAAATTGCTACAAAACATATATCAGATAAACATGATTTACAACGTTTAATATCATCAACAAAACATGATAAAACATTTGAACGTATTCTTGATGAAACATATCGTAGTCAAGCAAAAATTCTTGCAATTGAATTACAAGCAGAAAAAAGTCGTGTACTTGAATTAACTAAATCTAATGCTGATATGGAAAATACAATTCGACAATTCCAACAACAACAACAACAACAACCGAATAATATGGTACAATATGAACAAATGATTTATCCATTTCAAATGCAACTTCGAAGATTAGCAGATGAAAATGCTCGATTTCAACATCAATTGCATGCTTATTCAATGATGCCTGCAACAATTAATGAACTTAAACAACAACAACATATTCTTAATGAACAATTAAGACAAATGACTATTAGAAATAGTGCTCTAGAAAATGAAGCTGCTGAAAGTGAACGAGCAAGTAAACATGCAGCAGAAATTTATAAAAAAGGTAATTAATTATTTTATTTATTATTTTCTTTAATATAATTTATTTTCGTAGCCGATACTCAAAAACAAGAACGATTAGAACAAATGATAGCTGATATAAATAAATATAAAAAATTAGATAAAGAATTAACAAATCTTCGTCAAAAACATAATGAACTTGATAAAAATTTAAATTCAAAAATTAATGATATAACTCATCAACGTGATGAATTACGAACACATTGTGGTCAATTAAAAGAACAAGTTCAAGAATATGAACAATTACAACTTAAATATGATAAACTGATTCAAAATCAGTCAAATAATTCAACAAATGAAATTAAACAAGAAATAAATAATTTAAAAACTAAAAATGATCAATTACGACAACGTAATTGGAAAATTATGGAAGAATTAAATAAATTATTAGATGAACAACAAAAAAATCAAAATACAAAATCATCCTAAATTGTTGTGCTTTTCTTTTAGATATAAAAATGGTGCACTTTTGTTTTTGTTATTGTTTTTGTTTTTGAGTATCATAACTTTCTATTTTTTTTATCACAGACTTACAATCATATTAATATCTTTTTTTTCTTTGTTTCTTGTTTTTCTTTTTTAAAAGACCTTGGCTTGTCATTATTATTCTTGGTTATTCTTGCACAACAAAACGTGTTTATACAGTGCAGAGGTTTGGCTTATATATCGATTATTTTGAGTTTACTTTTTCTGTTTTTTGTGAATTATTTGTACTAATGTTTGCTTATTATTTGAATAAAAATGATTCTGTGTTTTATCTTAATCTTTATTAATATATCTCAATACAAATGTTAGAAATGTCCAACGATTTGTTATTCATCAAGTGATGAATTTAATTAGGGACTTCATGTAAATGAAGTCCTCAAAAATACTTTTTATTTCTAAAATGTACTGTAAAACTTCTACAATAGTAAGTACTTTCAAATATTGTTTCTTTATAAAAGAAAGTGATCCTTTATGTTCAGCATACTTGAAATCTTGTTGAACTACATGAAAGCAATTATTATGTCAGTCAAATTTCAGAATTTCCTTAGAAAAAGTACTTTTTTTTATACAAAAAAAGGAAAATATGCTTGTCCGACGAAATTAAAGAGAAAATTATTCAAAATCAATACATTATAATAAACATGTTTACACTCACAGATGTAAAACTAAAAGGAATAGTGAATTAAGTATATTTTCTATAGTCTAATTAACAAGAGTAATGTTAAAAGAATAACTATAAATACATGTACTTTCCAACCTAGTCATAAAGAAAGAAAACAGACGATGGTTCTGAGTAATGTATCGGACAAAAATAGAAAAATATTCTTATTGAATATTATGAAAGAAGAAAATAACATAGTATTGTTGAAGGAATTGTTCATATTTCATGGTTATCAATATATAAATTTGCAAAAAGATAATTAAAGTATCTAATAATTGATAAGATAAACGAACCGTCAATGTATAATTTTTGCATCAAAACTCTATGAATTTTATTAATTGAGTCATGTCACGAATGAACAATGCATGCATAGATAATTGTTTTATAATTCTATGACACGGGGAATAGTATTCTCTCAAATCTATTGTGTCACACAACCAAATAAAACATAATTTATGTCGATATTAATAAGTAAATCTATATTAATTTATTTTATTTTTATCCTATGTGAATTTACTTTTAAGAAGTATAGACATAGGAAATAATCTTCTTGGTTAAATCATATTGGTCACCTTGACTTTATATTTCTTTTTGATATTTTCTTCTATATTCGTATTTACATCGTAGATTTTCTATTATTATTTTATTTAAAGTTTTAGTACAATTATTATATAATTTTTAATGAAATTTTATAGAATTGTAGATTGACTTTTGTTAATAATCATATGATTAGGAAAAAAACAAATATTTCTAATGAATATGTTTCTTATTTATTGCTTTGCAGTTTTTTAAGCCATCCGAGATTCTTCGTATCTGTTAACATAATCAATAATAGTCTCAAAGGAATGACAATTTATTGTTGAACTACAGCCTCAATGTAATCATGTATTGTGCTATGTCACTTACAAGTCAATGCTATATGCGATGTGCATTTTTATTCTATTCCTACAAGTTCGATCTTTACAATTTGATGCATATAAATATCAATATAAAATTTTTATTTCCTACGCTTACATTTATTATAGATTTCATTGAATCTTTCTGCAATGTTTTCTGAGAAGATTCTTTTATTTCATAGAAGAAAAACATATCAATCTTCAATAAAACCTATTATTTTCATGAATACAACGTGAGTATTCATTTATTCTTCTGCAAGTACAATAATTTTATCATCATATTGAAAAATAATTGGTACATCTTTATCAGGATTTAAAACGATTCCATAAAATTTATTTGAATCTTGAGCATATTTCATTTGTCTATATCCAATAGCTAATGTTTGTTGTTTAAGTGATGCTTCAAGTATTCGACGAAATGGTATAGCAACATCTAATTTGGTAAATAATGAAATTGGTCTTAAATAAATTTCTACACCTTCAGCTGTTAATAAAACATCAAATACTTTTGTTAAATTTTTATTTTCAGATATTTGAGCTATATATTTTGAAAGTATATTTGGACTAACAATAAAATCATCTGCACGTGTTATTTCAGCTAATTCACGATTTCGTATATCAAACATTTCTGTAACAATATTAAATGTTTTTTGACGAGGATTTTTATCAATCATATTACGTAAGTGTAATAAACATATGAGACATTCGGCATCAGCTGCTTCTGAAGATGATGTTTCTAATTGATTTTGTTCATTATTAATATCATTAGCAAGAAGAATAACATCATGATAATTGTATCTAAAAGGTAAGAGAAAGATAAAATATTTTTTTTTTTCTTTTGTTTTAATATAAGATTTTTATATTTACAAATTAAGTTTTTCTAAGTCAAGTCGATTTGTAATATCACCAGAATGTAAATATAATTTTTGTCTTTTTAATTCATTAACTAATTGTTCAGTTATAATTTTTTTTGCTTTATCAATATTTGTCAAAATATGCAATTCACTTCCTTCTGATACATAATTATCTAATTGTTTTGCAATTAATGATGCTTTAGAATTCCATCCAAGTATAATATTTTTTTCAATATTTGTTTGTTTTTCATTGTACATTGTTATTGATGAAATATCTTTTTCATATAATATTGTAATTGATGAATAATTTGATGATAAATTAATAGCATCATCATCTTCAGCAATAACAATTATTTGATCATTTTGATGAATAATTGTATCACCTGATGGACATATTTTTATTGTTTCATCAGCAAACATTAAACCAATAACTGAACTAGTACGATAAAGAAATAAAGCATCATTAAATGTTTTACCAACTAATAAAGGTTCATATTTAAAATAAATTTCATCATATTTAAATGAAAGTAACATTGATAAAATAATTGATAAACCTGATTGACGACCACTTTGTGCTATTATACGTGCAATTATTTCATCAGCATGAACAAATACAACTTCATCTGCACCTGTATACAAGATATTTTTATTTTTATTTTTGTAATCGAATTTCTTACCTGCAATACGTGCTACTTCAATATTATTTCGTTCTTTTATTTCAGCAACAATATGAAATTTTAATTTTGTTCTTTGAGGATTATTTGTTATAGCTAATATTGTTTTTATAACACTTACATCAGGATTATCATTTAATGGTGCTAGGATAATTATTGATCGAGCATTATTTGGTGATAAAATGTTTAAATCATGTATTGACATTGGATCACCATTACGACAAATAATTTTTGTATTTTTATTTCCATCAATTTTTTGTGAAATTATTTCTTGCATTTCAATACGATCAATTGGAGCTAAAATAACAATTGATGGATTATGTTGATTTTCATTAGCAATAACTAATTCATTAATTATATCAAAGATTTTAGATGACCAACCAAGTATAACTATTTATTTGAAGAAAAACAAAAATAATAAAGAAATTTAAAAAAAAATCTTATTTACTTGTATGGTTTGTTTCAACAACTTTGGTTCGTCCTTTACGTAATTCAGCTAATTTTCCTTCCATCCCTGTTGTTAATGCACCAATTAATGTTGAAATAATAAAAATACCACACATAGTGACTGTTGCTGAAATTAATCGATGAATTCCACCAGTATCTTCTGCTGCAGAACCGGGATCTATAGAAAATTTTCATAATATTCAAATTTAGATTTTTGAAAAGAAAAATGCATCGATCTAACCCATTGTACGCATGAATGTTTCCCACAATGATTGAGAATATGTGTTTGTTTCTCCACTCCATAAATATAGGGATGAAAAAATAAGAATTAAACAAATAGAAATTAAAGCAAGAATAGAAATAATAACAATAGGACCTGCTGCAAATATATTATCTGATTTATATTTAAGCCAAGCACGAAAATACGATGCTTGATAAAGATTTCGTTTGTTATTACAAGATGAACATAGAGAAATTAAATGAGTTTTATTCTTTGTTTTCATTGATGAAATATAACAAATATTTTCAATTTATTTTGATAATGAAAGCAAAGCGTATATCACAAATGAGTTTATATCCGAGTGTGATAATAGCAACAAAAATAGATTCATTCGATATTTCTGGACCATTAGAACATTTTATTTGCATTAATGACATTTGAAATTCTATCTCGACTTTATTTTGAGTAATATTTAACAACTTTGCCATTTCTGAAGAATAATTTATCTCATTATATAGAATAGATGATTTAATTAAAACATGAATATCGAATAACGTGCAACTGAAAATTTAATATTGTCAAAGATGATTAAAGATAACAACTTATATATACTTTTCTCATTAAATTAAAACGCTCGTAGTTTTTCGTGAGAGAAATCTATTTAGATAGGGTCACACGGTACTAGAAGATGTCTAAAACAAATAAAACATCGATGATTTTATAAATTTAACTTGCAATTCTCAGCAATAAAATTTAGATTTCATGAAGAAAATAAATTTTATATATTCATTATCTATACATTGAATTCTTTAACAAAAAATGCACATAATTATCCAAATTGATTTTTTTTTATCTATATTTCAAACAATACAATCCTTTGACTGTTACCAACATTTATATTAATGGAATGATGATGATAATTGTCAGCAACAAGCTTTCTATTTTTGTTATAACAATAAATCACAGTTCATTTGCATATAAAAGCCTGTAATTTATAAGTATTTTAAGTTTGGTCATTCTTATAAAACATAAGTAAAAATTATTATACAGCACCGCCTACGTACGTTATTAAAAAAATAGAAATGTATGTTTCTTGCACCGGAAATCATTTGAATGTGTCTTAGTATTTGCATGAGATATGTTTTATCTAGACTTCTTTTTCTCTCTCTTTAATTATTTATTCAACGCTGC